CACACACACACACACACACACACACACACACACACACACACACACACACACGTGTGTAGTAGTGTATATTTCGATGTCGTAGCGTAAGATTCATTCGATTTTGCTCATCCTATCGATGGAAGTAGAGTGAGGCCAGCCGGGGGGTTAGAGACTTACCTATTGACCGGTGTGTTGCTCAACCTATCAATGGAAACTCTCTCTCTCTCTCTCTCTCTCTCTCTCTCTCTCTCTCTCTCAACAGATGATGGCCAGCCGCAGGGTTAGAGACTTACCTGCTGGGTTTTGGGGCCGCCTGAACTTCCCGGGCAGACCCCCCCCAGGCCCACCCAGCCGGGCGGAGGCCCAGCCTAGGAAATTATAACTTTATAATTTATGCCTATAATTAGTATAATACCTAACCTGTCATGGACCTCTACTTGCCTACTCACCCAGTTTGCAAAATTATCCCAATACCCCTAATACATTCCTCAGCAAAGTGGCAAACTACCCCTATATGATTACTGTGGTAATGTGTCATCATCCCATCATCTTGACGAGGGATGAAAAGTACCCCTTTATGAGGACCGTGGCACCATCTCATCACCATAACAATCAGATGAAGAACCTGAAGAGGCAAGAGTGGGGAGGATGGGGGGGGAACAAAGGACCAACGAATTCTGACTGCCATCAAATTACTATTCACCAACTCACAACGGATTAAAAAAAACGAAGAAAATGAGGACGAACAATGTCAGCGAATTCAGACTTCCCTAAGAGTTCCCTAGCCGACTCACAAGGTCAAACCTACAGTGTTCACCCAAATACAGCGTACGGTCATTATAGCTGCATTTGGGGCAAGTTTAAGTCTAGATACAACAATAATGACCATAGGTTGTACTCCGGTGAACACGGTACATCTACAGTTACCCCTATCCATGTGCATGTTACAGTCCCACAGGAACACTGCTTCCAAATCCCAGATGGATCCAAATTACAAGTGCAAAGCAGGGTTGCATACCTGCCCACCGCCGACCAGTCAGAAAACAGCCATCCACTGATTTTTTTTCACATCTGAGTTGGGGGCTGTACTGCGCTTGCTGAGTACATCCCAAATCCGCTGAGAAACTTTTGGGATG